CCCCCCTCCCCCCTACCAGTGTGTACCGTATGTACTTTGTGCACGCCGCCTAATGAGTTAAATATTTGTGTTGCAAAGTTGTGATGCAATCTTTGCTAAACTTATAGAAATGGTTTGTGTTAAATGAAAGCTTAAATTGTTTTTTAGTCAAATACTTTTCACGTGTTTATTGAAAGTGCATTGAGGACTGCTCTGAATTATAGTGCAAATCAATGATAATCTCAAACTCTGATAAGTATACCCTTTCAAACCTATTGTACCTTTCTCTAACTAAAGTGCTATAAAAGCTATTATTAACATAATATGCTACACTCTTATCTAATCTATGCAATTATGAGCCCTTTTTGATGAGATTTTATATTGCTTTCATTTTACACACGTTTACATTCCTTGTTTAGTACATTAGGTTTACCTTAACCTTCCGTTAAATTACATTTTGTGCCAAAATAAATATTACAGTTATTGTTATATTTATAAATTTACAACCATATGATAGATGCCAAAGGTGTCATAAAGTGGACAAATAGTTTACAGAATTTTAAATCGTTTTTAAACGATTTTTTCTCACTTTTCTAATTAAATGTAATCCATTTGTTAATTATAATAAACTTTAGTATTGCACTCAATTATTTTTCCACATAATAACAGAGAATATAATGTTCAGAATATTCTGTTAGTTTTTAAAGGATTGTATTATTACTATTAGTTTTGAGACACAAACGGATAATTATGTTAACGTTAATGAAAACATTGAATAAATATATGAATTATTTATTTTTAGGCATTTGTTTATAGAGTTATTACAGAATAGTCTCTATTCTAGAGTAAACTCAGAGCACAGAATAAATAGTCGTATGAAATGTCTGGACATCACGTGTAATGTGAGGCCATTTGACGTCAACAATCGATTCTTAGCTTAACTTTTATCTCAAATAGAGATTATATTCTGTTATAAATTACAATATATTGAGTGAATAAACAATTTTTACGATTCATTGAACATCGTTACGTTTATATAAACAAATGTATTTTAAAATCAATACCACTTAAGATTTTTGCACATATTCTATAGGTTTCTATGTTTAGATTCTTAGATGTTTATACAAATAAATAAGTTTAATATTATAAGACACAATATTAAGTATACAAATTTAAATATTTATTTCACAAATAATTTAATAAAATATTTTAATATGGCAAATAAATAATAATAAACACATAAAAAGCACAATATTGTTAAATTTATTTAATAATTTAAAACTTTAAATGAAATGAAATCCAGAATATTCTGTATCCTAAGGGGCTATAACTGTGCACAGAGTTTGTGAACACAATATAGTGTAATAGTGTTTACGAGTGGTTCGCATGTGATTCACATCTGTTTTGTTGACATTTGTGGCAACATTTGGGAACCGATTGTGTTGTCAACACTCGCAACACATCCCACATCACCACACAATGGTATGTAATGTCCACCCAATCCCTGCACTCATTCATCAATTAACGCGTGTATTGGTTGTGGTGTTGCAGAAGACGTGTCTTCAGATGAAAGCGAGTCTCGAAAATGTGACAAATCTGGTGCCAACTGGTGATGACTTTCGCTGGTATTTGAAGGTTTGGACACCAATTGTCTCGCGATATGTGCCACTCATGTGATGCCATTGTATCCCTATTTACAGTTTAAGTGCAATAATTGTGGCGAAGAGTCCGATAAATGGATTTATTTATCGCTTGAGGTTTGCCTTCAATTGCACACAACTGTGGACTCACTTATTGATGACATTATCTGTATTGCAGGAGAAGTTCCCGATGAAGGGATCCAAAGGTGAGGCGCATCTGGTGTCCAAATGCAAGATGTGTTCACGTGATTGTTCCGTCGGTAATGGACAGCGAGTTATCACTCGTCAGCCAATAGTGTATTCACTGATTGTATTGACACTTATGTCTTATGTCCGCAGATATCATACCAGAGATGATCACTCAATACACGTCCGACGACTCGAATTCATTTAAGACAATCTGTGGCTTCGACTGCAGGGGTGTCTCCGTAATAGACTTCTCCCCGCGGGTGG